CATCAGCAATCTGTTAATTTGACGTCATCTGACGTCAGTAATCTGTTAACGAATTAACGAATTGCTGATGTCAAATGACGTCACACGTTAAATTTGAAGTGATTTGTCCCAGTCGAAAATTTTGTGGGTGGATTTGTCCTCGTTTTTTGTTCGAGGGTGGATCTGTCCCTGCCACTATACTTTGGGGATGGATTTGGGTATTTTGCCATAGAATAATAGTGATTGATTTTAACACATATTTACTAGTATTTAGAATCATATATTTTTTTTTTATGATGCAAGATTACAGACATTACAATACTAATTAACAATTTTTTTTTTGTTTTTTTTAATTACAATACTAATTAACAAAATTTTATATAACAATATTAGCACAATTATGCATTCACATATAATAATTAACATGCAAAACCCTCTTTAATAATGTTATAGTGGATAAAAAATTAAAATTCTAAATTAGAGATTTTTAACTTTAAATATTGAAATGTAAATTTATAAATTTCTTTTAGAAGGATGATGAGTAAAATTTATAATTTATCATAAGAATACGCTCTCTTTGTTCAATTTTAATAAAATTTGGTTTTTTAATAAAATAAAAATATAATAATTAATTGATAAAATTCTATACTTATTTTTAATTAATTAATACTTAAATAAATTTCTTATTTAATTTAAATAAGATTTCGAGTTCGAATTTTGTGAATGGATAAACAGACATTAACAGAGCTTCTCTAAACCCTAATAGGGTTTAATGTGATTTTATTCTAAATTAATTGAGACTCAATATAGTTATCGAATATCAAAAATTTAATAAAAAAATACTATATTTGTTTTTTTTTCGGTAATTTGAAGAGAAATGGAATTTCCTTCCAAAAAAAAAAAGAAAAAAGAAAAGAAAAGAGGAAACTGACTGCTTTCAGCAGAGAAATAATTGTGTGAGGGGTCCAAAAAATACATCTCTTGTTCCTACATTTTAGCAGCCAATTAAGGAGTCCATTCAAGTTCAACGCACAAACGAGGGCAATTCCGTAAATTTCCAATCTCTGATCAATATTTGGGTTGTTACTAAATTTTCCTAAACCAACATTTTTGATTTTTCCCATCAACAACAGAATTCAAAGTTTGAAAACCAAAAAAACCACAGAATTTATGCGCCTCCCTCACTTGATACCTCCATTACATGCAGCAGGAAAAACATTTTTCCCCCACAACTAAAATGGTAAGAAAACAAATTGCCGCAATCAGATCTTTAGTGTTAGTCTCCTTACCATTTATTTATTGCTGTTTCTTTGTCGTCGCTAACTTGCCATTTTCTTTGTTTGTTTGCTCAGAAAATGATGTGGGGTAGAAGCAGAGAAGTAGCTATCATGGCTTAAGCGCCTTCTGCACAGCTCACGGTTTCTGGGTTCTTGTTTATTTTTTGGTGAGTTCGAAGCTATATTCTCTTGTTTTTCTCGCCGTTTTCACCTCCTGGGAACTTTGTTTTTATTCCATTTTAGTACATTTTTCTTCTTGATGTTTTCTGCCAGAGTTTTCTTCCCCTTTGCCTTTCCTTTTCAGCTCCCATAGTTTCCTGGGTTTTTGTTGCAGTATTCAATTTTCTTGTTAAATGAGGTTGTTTTTGTATTTGTTATTTTGGGATTTTTATTCTTGTTTTTTAATCTAGTTAATTGCAATAACTATGGATTTACTTGGATTTTTGAAGGATATTTTTGTTTCCATGGATGCATTTTTTTGGCTAAATTAATAATGTCATTGGTTTGCGATTTAGACAGCTTTGGATCAGTTTTTTCATGTACCCACATGAAAGAATCCATTGTGTACTGAAAAAGATCCCAAATTGTAGGCTCTTTCATTGAGAGAAGATGTTGTGTGCTTGCTCAGGCGAGCAATTCAAGTTTGAAGATGCCCCAAAGTCGCCGGAGTCACTGGCGACGAGAGATTTCTCCGCTAGTGGGCTTTCTTCGAGGACTGGAGACTGGGAATCGAAGCTAGATGATGTTCAAGTGGATGAAGTTGAATCAACTCTTAAAGAAGCTCTCTCCTTAAACTATGAGGTGGGTTTAGTTACCTACAGCAGCTTACTCGATCATTGCTCAGTTTGTTTTAATGGTTCAGATGCTAATAAATTTTGTTTTTTTGAATGGATTTTCAGGAAGCAAGGGCACTATTGGGGAGGTTAGAGTACCAGAGAGGGAATTTTGAGGCTGCCCTTCAGGTGTTTCAGGGTATAGACATAAGAGGCTTGACACCAAGGATGACCAAGGCTATTGTAGAGAGAACTCGGCAAAGAAAACCGCGATCCAAAGGTGATGTTATCCCTCCCAGTGTGATGTCTATGCACTCAGTGAGCTTGCTTCTTGAGGCAATTTTGCTTAAAGCAAAATCACTTGAGGGACTTGGGCATTTTATAGGTATTTCCATTTTCCACTTATCACCTGTAACATCTTTGCGTATGTGATAATTGCCAACAAGAATTGCTTTCCTATTTGGTTTAGTTTTGTTATGACTGAATACTAATGAAACCTGACATATTGAGTGGTTTAAGTCATAGCAAATTCTGTTTTTGGAATAGAAAGCTATTGTTCTTCCACTGATGAGCTTTCAGATTGTTCTTACCATACCATTCTCATTTGTCAGAGGCTGCAAAGGAATGTAAAACAATTCTGGATATAGTTGAAGCAGCCCTGCCTAAAGGTATGTCTGAGGGGATTGGCGAAGACTGCAAGTTGTTGGAGATGCTCCACAAAGCATTGGAGTTGCTCCCTGATCTATGGATAAAGGCAGGTTCCCTTGATGAAGCTATAACTGCATATCGCCGGGCTCTGGTCAAGCCATGGAATTTGGATTCCCAGAGGTTGGCAAATGTACAAAAGGACTTAGCTATCATTTTACTTTATGGTTCTGTTGAAACAAGCCTCCCCCGTCATTTACAGGTTTGCGATCCTACAACCCCAAAAAATAGTACAGAGGAAGCAATCCTTTTGCTGCTAATACTTATGCAAAAGGTGGCTTCTCGGGAAATACAGTGGGATGCAGAAATTATGGATCACCTAGGTTATGCATTGTCGGTTGTTGGGCAGTTTGAATTGTTAGCGGATCATGTTGAGCAGGTCCTTCCTGGTATTTATGATCGAGCTGAAAGGTGGTACATTCTGGCTCTTTGTTATGCTGCTGCAGGTCAGAATGAGACAGCCTTGAACTTACTAAAAAGGGTTTCAGGTAGTTCAGAAGCTAGGAATAAACCTCATATTCTCACTCTACTCTTGGGAGCAAAATTATGTTCTCAAGATCCCAAGCATGCCCGAGATGGTATAAATTTTGCTCGTAAAGTGATTGACGAAAATCATCAGAATCAGCATTTCATGGTTCAAGCACACAAGTTCCTTGGCGTTTGTTATGGGAATGCTGCTAGAGTTTCCGTAACAGATTCTGAAAGAGGTTTCTTTGAGAAAGAATCCCTTACCTCTCTAAGTTATGCTGCTCTCAAGCGGGGGGAGGACCCAGAAGTGATATTTAGCCTCAGCTTGGAAAATGCAGTTCAAAGGGATTTGGATGCAGCCTTTAACAATGCAATGAAGTACAATGACATGGTGGCTGAAAACTCAGGAAAAGGTTGGAGGCTGCTAGCACTTGTACTTTCTGCAGAGCAGCGGTTCAAGGATGCTGAAACCGTTGTTGAGTTTGCTTTAGATGAAGCTGCTAGGTTAGATAAGTTAGAACTTCTAAGATTGAAAGCTGTGCTTCAGATTGCTCAGCAACAGCCCAAACAAGCAATTGAAACCTACAGATTGTTGCTAGCTTTGATTCATTCACAAAAAGAACCTCAGCCTCGAAATTTTGTCCGTGCAAAGAGTTCTGACACAGAGGTATGTGCGTGTGTTTTGTTTTTTGTTTTGTTTTTTGCCTTAAAACTGCAAAAAGTTTCTACATCTAATGTGTTCGTAATGAAAGTAGTACATTAGATTTCTTTTAGTTATAGCAAAAAATTACATTGGTCTTTATATTTCACATTTAAGATTACCTCTGTATATATATATATATAAACCTAATTTTCTGCCTTTCAAAGGTTGTTATGGAGAAAACCATTGAAGCGGAAGCGTGGCAGGATCTGGCTAACATCTATAGCAGTTTTGGTTCTTGGTCTGATGCGGAAATTTGTGTCAACAAAGCCAAGTCAATTGAATTTCATTCACCCAGAAGCTGGCATACAACAGGTAGTAGTCTTGCCTTGCGTTCTGCCGTGCTCATATGATTATTGATTCTTCCCCTTTAATTTATGGCACATTTTCAGGTATGTTATTTGAAGCTCAATCCCTATACAGAGAGGCTCTGGTATCCTTCTCAGTCTCACTGTCAATAGAACCACATTATGTTCCAAGCATTGTCTCAACTGCGAGGATTCTTATGAAATTTGGGAAGCAATCACTCCCAATTGCAAGAAGCTTTCTGATGAATGCTTTACGATTAGAACCTACAAGTCATGAAGCATGGATGAACCTTGGATTGATTTCAAAAATGGAAGGCTTGTTGGAACAAGCAGCTGACTTCTTTCAAGCTGCTTATGAGCTAAAGCTGACAGTACCTGTTCACCCCTTCACTTAAGCTGATAGTTATTTTACTTTCTAGAGTATGTAATTTGTAGGATGGCCAGTGTAACCTGACTGGTTTCACCTCAGTGAATTGAGAATTCAATCAATTGAGAATATGTTCCTTCAATGGAAGTGTATAGCAATCTTTGCACTTCGAACCACTGGATTTTCCCCTGTCAATATCAAATTCTGATACATCGCAAAAAAATCTTAATGCACAAGGAACTGAGTCTTGGGCCATAAAATTAAAATGGAGAGTGAGTTATTATGGAGAAAATAAACCATGTTCAGGCTGAGATTGTATAGAAGAGGCAAAACATAAACCTACATCTTCAGCGGTCTTTTCAAACCGTATATCATAATTGGAAAAAAAAAATTACAGCGTCAAATTTGACAGACGCACATTTGCTTTGGGGATGTTCTCACTTGCTCCAGGAAGAGTAGTAAACTGGTCATGCAGAGAATACAACCTACTGCAAAATAAAAAACACGAAGTTATAAGGAGCTAATTATGAATTATTAATAAGCTACATTCTCCCTTGCAAACTCAAGATAATTTTTGCTGGGAAGTATTTATTCTGCAAAAATTTACTGCAACATCTTGTATATATAAAAAGTAAAACAAGAATTTTCTTCTGGCCAGAGGGAAGTATGAGCTCGGGATGCCAAGCACAAACAATATGGTTGCATCCATGATATACAAAATGAAGGGCCATTTATTATAGAAAAAGTTCAAATAAAAGGCATTACTCTTGGAGATGAGGTTTACAAACCAACAGCAGGTAGAATATTTACCTATCAACATAAAAAATTTTTGATTCAACATGGAACAGACAGGACCTCAACCCATCTGCCACTGCACCAACAAACAAATCATAGGGTCAAAGTCAAATACAAATGCTTTGATGTCTATAAACTATGAACATGGCCTAAAGAAGAAATTAACACAAAAATTCATGACTAAGATCTGAAGGCAGCATGGCACCATAGAGAGAGAGAAAAAAAAACTGTGATCCCAGATGGAGAAACATATTAGCAAATTAACAATTAAAACCTTTAGAACTGGTTCGCCTTTATTGGTGTTTGCAGATTGTTTTGCAATCCCTTCTAGCTGTGCACGTGCAGCTCTCCCTGCAGCTGACTTTTCAAATTGCTCTTGCCTGAAGTTATTATCACCATTAGAACGTAAGCAGTGAGTTGTATCATCATGCTTAATAGATCAAAGTAGAGGAATTAAACCAGGTTCTGAACATGTTAACATTGTCAACAATATTCTCTCTTCATGAACATTGGTCGGTAGATTCTACAAACAAACAATCTTGGATATATGATAAATAGGATCATATCTAACAATTAGATTAGGAAGCAGTATGACTGCTAATTCCGCTCATATGAGATGACCAGTGATCTCGACAATCGAATAAATTTGAATTAATAACTAGATGTTGATTACAAATGAGATATCATTAATCCTTTCTTTAGGTGACAATTTATTATCAAGGCACAATTATCATGAAAAAATGTCCATAATTAAAACAAGAACTAAAGCAGTAACTGGAAAATAGGAATGCTTGAAATAATGACTTGTCTAGTTCCTTCACTTAAGCATTCCTAAACACATTTTGAACATTTCTGATTAGTCTTAGTTTCACAATCAAGAATTATCACTAAATTGTAATCAAGCAGAAAGAGTCAGAACAGTAATTAACGTCAGGCATCAGAAAAACATTCATTTTGCACAACCAAATTGGACCCAATTCATTGCCATTCCAAAAATGAAAAATCAGGCCAATTCTCAAAACTACAAAATTTTCATATTCCAGAACACAATTCTGAATTTTTAGTGCAGTTCCAGTCCAAGTTGATTTTCTTCAACTAAGCCTCGAATTACACGGCCAAAACAGAAAAAGAACGAAATTTTAAGTGCTGAGAAATTCGAGGAAAGATTACTTACCGTTTCTGCGCAGCTTCGGCAGCTTTAGCTCGAGCCTCGGCGGAAGCCAATCTCTCCTGTTCCCTTCTCTCCTCTCTTTTTCCTCCGTCAAAACAAGAGAAACAACACCCCATCTCCCGTCGCAATCTCAACCTCTCTTTTTTCCTCTCCTCTTTGACTTTCGACGGATCCGGGTTGTTTTCTTATGACTTAAACGGTGCGTTTTAACGAACAATAGAAGCGAAGAATAGAACATGGCCGACACGGTGGACTTTAAGCGTCGTCGTTTCAGCAGTTGCCTTTGTTCCAAATCGAGGCTCAATTCCTGGTTGTCTGAAGTTGAAACCCTAACGACGATTTCAGGGTGAGAGTGGAGTTGGGAAGGGAAAGATTTAGAGGTGAATATGCGGCCGTTAGAGACGCTGCTGCCGACGGAGACTCTAGAGATAGAAAACGGACTGTCACTGGTCCCGCGCTTGAAGCTTCTGCTCACGATCCATCCATCACTTTCCTCCGTTTCGAAGCCTATTGATGAGTGGCAGCTAAAGCGAGCCTTAACGGACTTTCTGAAGACTTCTCTCTCCGTCACGATCACCGTTCCCGAGGAAGATCTCGTGATCAGACGCGTCAAAGACCTCAAGAAGCGGAAGCGGGAAGACCCTGTGGCACACGGCACACTTTTTATTTACGACCTAGGGTTTCTAAGTGGCGGGAAGAGACGTGAAGATGATGATGAGAAGGAAGAGGATGTGAAGGAAGTAGAGAAGAAGTTTTTGGATTGGAGGAGGTACATTGTGGAAAAAATGGATGGGATAGAGCTTAATCTTGAAGGAGTCAGATACAAGCTTAGTGTTGAGATTCCGATTTCTGATGATTTCGAGAGAATGAAGAAAGATTGGGAGGAGTTTTACGCTTTTAGAAATCGAGGTGTGGTTTAGTTTTGCTATTGAATGTATTAGTGGAAACTGTGCTTATTCGGTTATAAAAGTTGAAGGTTCTGTTTTCAGGTTATCCAAGGGGAGGGAAGCAAGATCCTGACACCATAGTTCTGAGAGGTGTTCCATCACGGTGGTTTGCAGAGCCGAGGGTTTCCTCAAAGCCTTCCATGCTGGTTACACATACTACTTTTTCATCATTTGGGAAGATAAGGTTATTTCTTTTGCTTCATTAGTTGATTTACAGTTTCTATATGTTGGATTCTTTTAAATGTTCAAAGTTCAGACTTTGAAGTAGGGAGTTCAACTCTTGGTAGCTCATATTGCTTTATCTGCAACAGCAGCTTTAGGGTGCTCAGAATTTGCTATTTTTGTACTCTGAAACTGCTATTGCTTTAAAATTTGAAACCGTAGTAGGGTTTCTTATGAGAAGTTTTGATTCTTGTGGTTTGTATAAGTATTTATCAAGATATTGTTGCATGTTCTTATGGTTCCATTTTGTAATTTATTTATTTTGTCTATTGTCATTAATTGTTTGGCACGAATATCACTTGATTATACATAATCCTTGCTGTTTCTTCTTTAACCTGCTCTATATAGGAATCTTAATGTCGCCGAGGACAATGATTATGGTAAGGATGTGAACCATGATGAGATGGACCTCATTTCAGGGCTTAATTGTAAGATTGTGGTTCAGTTCGAGAAGTATAAGGATTTCTATAATGCACTTAAGGTGCTATGTAGTCACTCATTGCAAAAGGTACAATTGGAATTTATGATACTGTTATCCTTTTTGGAGTATTTTTGCTTGAGCTTCATGATGATGGATGGTCTGAGGTGTGTCCATGTGAGTTCATTCAACAACAGAATTTTGTTAGTCATTTGCTTCCAACATAGGAGTTCTTGACACCTAAAGTGAAAATGGATGAAAAGAAATTATTTTGCATGATCACGGTGCTATTGTTTTAGAGATGTTTATGACGAGTGATTTTGGCAGCATGCTTAGTCTGCTTATTCAGAATGGTATTTGTGGGCAGCTTAGAAAGGGCTCTAAGGGAAGCCAAATAAATTGTTAAAATTGCATTTATGGATTTCTCAAGTATGGTTTACTCTGGTTTGATGACCTTCCTGGGTTACCCGTGCAGCAAGGATCTCAATTGAAGGCTGATTATGAGGTTACATGGGACAAAGATGGCTTGTTCCGAAACTCAAGAAGTGAATCACAAGGGAAGAGTGGCAGAAACCAAGAAATGGAAAAAGTCCGATACAGAAGTGAAGCTCCAAGACGTGAAACTTACGTATCAGAATTTGCTTCTGATGATACACGCAGAAAGAGGTTCAAGGTCAGAAATTGACAAAATAAAAATGAAAATGTGGGCTTTTTGCATGTTCAGAAGACCCTTATGGCATTATTATTTTATTTGTTGGCTAATATTTAAGTTAATTATATCTTTCGGTGTTGATGTCATCTTTATTTTACTTTTTGAGTTACTAAATCTTCATTTTTGTTTTTCCAAATACAGGAATAGGAATTGTTGGGGTACATTCTGAAAGATTTCACAAAGGATGTGAGGAGAAGTAATGGCGAAACGCACGCTTGATTTTTCCTACACAGGAATAACTGATGGTGTGTGATTGAAGCCATTACTCATCTTCTTCCATGATGTTATACCTAGGGAAGATATTTTTCAAGATAAAGAAAGATGCTATCCATGGACCAGAATCTGTAATATATGAAGCTCCTGTAGAACTCCAGAAATTTCATTTTCATTATCTCATCCTCCAATCCATAGAGGTTGGTAATGGAGTTAAATTAGTTATGCAGTTATCAACCTGAAGGAATTTATTCCTTTGATTAATGCCTAATCTGTTTTTTCATAGCCTAATTTCAGGCTTTTTTGTATGTGTGACAAAAGAGAAGGAAGGAAGCAATCACTTGGATTACCTTGGTCAATGAAATAACATGCCTGTTGGGTGTGATTTATTTGGTCAGTGAAATCCCGCAAGATCTAAGACAAGATAAGAATAATTAGAATACCATTACCATGCATTTTTCTGTTGTGGTCCATTGGTAGCCACTGCATTCCAACAGGCTGTCGGTGGATTGCACCATTGACCAATGGTCGAATTTTGCCGAGTACTAATCTAATTTTTAACTTTTAATATCTAATTATTGTCTTTGTCAACCAAAAAAAAAAAAAAGAATACCATTACCATATCTGCTCACATTAAAAGCTTCTATGCTTTAATTTCTTTAAGCAAGAGCCGCATGGAGAATATAAATAAATAAATGTGGAATAAAAAACTGTAGTCTGCACCACAACAGTAGATTAATATGTGCAACACCATGTTTTCAAACCCTGATAGATTTTAGAGAACGTTAGTCAACCTATCATGCCACATCCTTACTCTTAAATGACAATAATTAAAATAACCAAAAAAAAGAAAATAATAATAATACTAATAATTTTATATTTAAATTTTATAATGATTAAGAATACCCGTTATTGTATAGTCTATTATTTTCTTTATAAAACTTACATAAAATGCATACACAAAGAATCAGTAATTTTGTAGTTGGTCTTACCGAAGAGAGAACACCAATATCTAGGGGCTTTCCGCATGCATGATAACAACACTGAGCGCACATCACTTTTAAGGCAAAACTAACCAAAGAAACTTTGTTTGCAATTCTTCTTTTTCTCTTTTGCTTTATAACAAGATCAGATCATCTTCCCCGGCTTTGCCTATGGCCTGCCCGCTTTGACGACTTATCTCCGACTGCTCCTGCTTTCTTGTCCGTTGGAGAAGAAAAACCGTCACCGACCAATTTGTTTTCACTCAATTTTCTGACATAATCTTTCTTCTTCGTCACCCTTCTTACATTCGAACCATCTCTCTTCAAAGTATGAATCATGCACCAGAAAAGACATGTGCATAGTGTAACCGCCAACCTTCCAAAAAATACCAGCAGCAAAAGAATCATTACTATGACCGCCGGAAAATAGTATGAAGGCCGCCTCCATCGACGCAACTTCGTAATCCACGAAGAGTTCTTCTTTTTCTTTATGTCCGAATCTATTTTCACTAACTTGACTCTGTTGCCTCCGGCAGCTGTAGTTGGGAACTCCTCCAAAATCTCTGACTGCGGCGTCCTTGCCACAGGCCTTGGCGATTTTGCTTTGGTTTCACCGAGCTTCTCTTTTTCTCTTTTCTCCTTCGACCTCACCACAACTGGAACACAGTCGTTGGAGTTCTTATACACAAAGCAAACAAAAGAAATGTCCTGCGATCCCATCTGGGAATAAATCTTCTCTCTCTTCTCTTCGAGTTCAGCAAGAAGCGCAGAAAACTTGTCGAGTCCACAGTTCGAATATGGGTTCTTGCTGTTGCTGTTATGGCTCTTATCCAAGTTGCTTCTCTTGGATTTCTTCGGCGTAGAAACAGAGCAGCTTGACGGTTCACCATCTTCTTCCTGATGATGGAAACCGCAGGTGCTGCAGGTGAAAGGATTCAACATTTTAAATTGGTGGATTTATCTAATCTTTAGTTATAGAGTAAAGATTAAAAGATCAAACATTTGAAATTGCTAAGAACGTGCGAGGAAATGATGTATTTGGTTCGGAACTGATAACTTGGGGAGTTGGTTTTGAAAGGGAGAGGACAAGAATGGGAGTTTAAAAGAGTAGTCTGCTGTGAGGATGAGATCCGAAGGGAAGTTTAGTCAAAATTTATAAGCTTGAAAAGGCTAAAATGTCATGATTGACGGAAGTTTCCATGTGGATTTTGGGTTTGAAATCTTGGGGAACAAGGCCGCGGTTCCACAGATTTATTTTTCCTGGAGTAGTTAAATGCCAAGAAAGAAAGTCAACTCTAGAATTTTCGTATTATCTCTTGGAAAAGGGAACTTGAAATTGTCTAGGATTCATATTAAACGTTTTTAGTGGTTAAAGAGATATTAAGATTGAAAACGGGAAAATGATTTGCCTTTTTTTCTACTCGTGTGAAACTTGTGATGAAGGCTAGTTGTGGTGAAAATGTTGAAAGCATGCAGCTGAGGTAGGAATTCAGGTTTATTCACTATTTGCATGTGTAAATACTCAAAAATGCTGCAACACTCTGAAAAAAATACTAAAAGAAAGCAACATTAGACAACTACCAACAGGGCCAATTTAATACCACTAACTTAAAAACCCTAATTTGGGTTAAGGGGTTCAAACATTAGATTAGGAATTGAATCCTAAATTAGTGACTAAAAGTACAAGTAACTCTATTATCAGATCACATGGTTATATTTTATGGGGAGAGTTTTTGTTCTTGTTTTTTTTTTCCATCTCTTTAATGAACAAGAACGAAAAGTCTCTCCCAACAAGATATAATCATGTAGTCTTGTGGTAGAGTTACTTGTGCTTTTAATAATAGATCTAGAGTTTAATTCCTAGTCTCTCTCTGTATATAATAATAATAATAATAATAATAAATAGACAAGCAAACCCTAAGCTGTGATTTAGAGATGAGATGCTATGACTGCAATCTTGAAAATAGATTCACTGAATGTTGGATGCCATTCTTCATATGCCAAAGCTTTTATTGGGTGTAAGAGTCAAGCACAAAACAGCCAGAAAATCATAAGAAACCAGACTGAATTTACCTCTGGCGTTTTCACTTTTGAACTCATTTGTTCTTCTACAGTGAATCAACCAAGCAATGTTATTGGCTGATGAAGACTTTTAGCGTTTCCTGCAATAAGGAAAACAAATTGCATAAACTTATGACGGACAGAAACAAATGTACGACTGCATCCACATGCAAATATGCAAACAAGTGACAGGGTCACAACAGATGTACTGTTTGCTCACAAGGATGCTGGACAGTCATCATAATCCAATTTATCATCATCCTTCATGCACTTTTCTTGAACTGCTGCAACCGTAGAGGATTTGCTAAGAGAAACTTATGACTTTGAGTCCCAAAAATGATAGCTCCACAGAGTTAATGACATTTACAGGGTTGGAAAAGGATCAAAGAAAAGCAAATTGCTGTAAAATATGGATGAAGTTTCACTAATTTCTTTCACTTGCCATCTAGAAGGAGACTACAATTAATCCAAGATACTCCAAAATGGCTGCCACCCTAACTTCAGACATATTTATAAAAGGATATCTGTAATAATCCCAATCAACTTGATGAACAACAATTTTGCTGAATTCAACTGCACTGGCATCAATGCAAGTAAATATGTAGCCATTGCTCTTATCAATGAGCTTCAAAAGATGTCCAATGCTCTCTTTATCCCGAAAGAAGAATCTGCTTATGAAAAAAAAATAAAACCTATAATAAAGAAATGCAAGGGAGGATAACAAAAATTGGAATAAAGAAGAATTGAAGAGATCTAATAACAGGCCTGAATGTCTAAAGTTGTGAAATTAACAAGACTGTAGTCTTCTACTACATCAGAGCGTTCCTTCGTCAGTTTTCTACAACAAAAAATAAGAGGAAGCCACACATAACACATATTGGAAAAGTAAGAAAAAATAACTTGTAACATAATTGAAAGAATTGCATGTTCAAAGGATGCTAGTAATAGGAAGAATGAAAGACTAAAAGAAATGAAGGACAAAAAAAAAAAAAAAAAGGCATAAAAATAAGACTAATGTTACTCAGTATCTTATGCATGATAAAAGGAGCAACCCAAGAAACTCATGTAAAACAGACCTATACTTGGTAGAGCAAGGATCCTGATCCAGATGGTATTGTAAATGTAATAGATCTTGTACATCAGTGTAGAAATCAAGGTTGAAAGCTGCAGCCATCCAGATGCAATAATTAGCCATGAAAAACAATAATTAGAGGATTGAATCAAAGATGATATTCAGTACTCACCCAGCTTTCCATAGCTCTCAATTAGATCAATGTTAGACAAGACATTGATGTGCGGACGGAAGCTCCAAATGCAGTCTAGTAGATAACGAGAGAAGCAAAGCACTGACATATTTCCCAGGGTCACTACAGAGATGTGCATCAACCAAATGTACAGCAGTCAACTGCACAAAAGAAAAATCTGTCAACATTCCTATGCTTAAAACATCCCAAAAACAAGCTCAAGTTACATCTACTGGAGGGGTCCATCAAAGAGAAAAGACAAAATTTTACCCTAAGATTCAACTTTTTAATGAGCTTCATGATGACATTTTTGGCATTTGAGTGAAGGAAAAATAACTGAACTTGGCCAGGAAAATCAAAAAGAAGATAGTGATCTGCAAGTAACCAACAATATCGTTTAGTCTTTAATTGCCAAAGTTATCATGCAGTATTGTAACCAAAAACACCATTCAAATGCATCTATTTAGCATTTGGCCAAAGCAAAGTGAGAAAGATCAGGTGTTGTGGGTGCCATCTACATCAGGAAGTTACAAAGCTGGACA